GATTGAATGAATAATCCTCCAACTTAAAGTTAATTAGTTAAGTTATTTTCTTTGAGAACGATAGTAACTAAATTTTGTAGACAAAAAATTGGTGAGATTCTGAGTATTTAGACCGACACATCCATAACAGTCTCATTATTTCTTTCATGTGTGATATTCTTCCATGGTTTTGTTTCTCTAGAACTTGCCTTGATTCTTTTCAAAATCATATTGACACATGCATACACGAACATGATTAAGGTCATCTTTGTTATATAAATTAGCTACATTAGCCAAATAACTTACCATATAATTGAATTTTCCTTTAGTGAACCCCTTTGAGCCTTATTGCCTTTTTTTTTGTAAACCCACGTTACAAGCTTTAAACTGGAAAAACAACTTCTTTACCCAAGTCTTAGAGCTAGTAGAGTATTGTTCAATATCATAATATGTGTGGATGTGCAAGAAAATAAGTATGAGGGTATCAAGATTTTTGGTAGTGCTATAATTGGTGAATTGGAACAAATGTTCTATATTAATTCGTGGAGTTCCATTGTTGGTGAAACACTTGGAGTTTATATATTGAAAAAAAAATGAATGATAGAAGAAAAAAAGAAATTAAGTGATGAATGAGAGTGATTTTAATGTTACAAAATATCTATATTCATAACTCTCCCTACATCTCAAGAAAGAGTTCGGCTTGTGTAGGATAGATGTGAATTGAAGAAGCTATCATGTGGAGTGGTTGGTTTTACATGTCTTATGTATATATTTGAGTTAAGTCTGTTCATCTTTGCACTAGCTTCGATGGCTTTTGAGTCACATACCCAAATATTTCCCACCTTAACCCTAAGCCACGTTCAACCCTTGAAAATCCTTATGTTTCTTGTTAAGCATATGACATAAGTGGTGGCGAATGAGAACATATGTAAGCATATGATAGAGCATCTCCATTGGAATGAATTTGAGCAAAACACTTACCTTTTAAGCATCTCCACATGTTTAGTTTACTCAATCTTTATATGAAAATGTTTGCTAATTGATTATGAGTTGTTTGAGAATGTTTATTCACGATATATTATGTGTTTTGAAAATGTTTGATGGTTCTATATTTATGGCATTACGACCTAGGTATTTTGGGGAATTAAATTTGAGTTTTGCCCGAGAACGTGCAAAAGCTAAGTGTAGTGAAATTTGATATAAACGTAAAATGCATATTTTTCTCTCCTTATTTTATGTGCTTGTATGATTAATCAATGCCAAAATGTACTCATTTTGTACATATTTTGATTTAGGTGGTAATTCAAAGTGAAAGGAAATGAAAGTTCAAGGACTAACATGAAAATACACAAAAATTATGTTGAACCAAATAATGAAGATATGAGAGTGTTAGAAATCAATTGAATGAAGAAAGAAGTCAAATGGGCGAAATATCGTCAAAGTAGGATCACATATCAATTTTCAATCGAAAAGTTATGCATCGAATTTTCAGTCTCAGTTTGAGACCCATTTTTGACATAGCAAACGATCTAATTGGAAGATGTTATCTGAAGCAAAGTTGTAGCCCTTTGAATTAGCGTTCTAACGCTGAATCAGTTCAATATCCACATGTAGAGAAAGTTTTGAATCAGGCAAATTCTCTTCCGAGCGCACGGGCATGAATTTTACTTACCGAGCCTAAAACCAATGAACAGCACGCGAGCACTAGAATTTTTCACAGACGAATCCCCAGTTTCTGAATTTAAGTCAACTACCTATACAAACAACTATAAATACATATTTTAAAACTCTAGAACGGGAGGAGAACGTACAGAACGCCTCCAAACTCCA